GTTCTTTGGAATGTTGGTTGTCGTGGGAATGGAATGTTGAGAGTGTTTGGGTCGGAAGAGAGGATATTTTGATCATTTTTATTGGAACAACCTGTTGACCCCTTTCCCCCTCTCTGTTGTTAATGAAAGAAAACCTTCATTTGTGACCAAGCACACTGTCGTTGATGAATCGGAATGTGCTAACGAGAGTGGAGGAGAACGCGCCACAGATGACAGCATGCAGAGCAGTCTGGATATCAGCAAGCTGCCACAAGGTTAGCACTCTGTTAGGGTGTTTTAAAGTCTGATGAAGCGTGTGGGTTAAGAGGCGCACTGAATCTCCTGGCTTCACGATTCGCAGGCACAGTGGTGGTCAAGCCAGAACCGGTTGCTAACGAAGCTAAAGATGAATTCCGCGGTCCGGAGTTCCGTAACAGAGGAAGTAAAGTGAAAGAGGAAGGCACTCGGAAACGTCCCGGTGAGCAAGCTCGTGTACTGTAAATGATCCCATGCCCCATTAAAAGGTATTGAATTAGTCTAGTTATGCGTTTGGTTATCTCAAATATTCACCATTAGGTCAAATACTGTTTTGTTTTTTTCCTTCTCACTTTATTTAAATTTTTCCATATAAACAAAATACAGCATACAATTGCAAAACATATACACTGCCGGTCAAAAGTTTGGGGTTAGAATGATTTTTAATGTTTTTTTTACAGGAGTTTCTTATGCTCATAAAGGCTGCATTTATTTGATCAAAAATACAGGACAAAATGTAATATTGTAAAATATTATTATGATGTAAAACAAAGTTTTTCTATTTTAATATACATTAAAATGTAATTTATTCCTGTGACGCAGCACTGTATTTTCAGCATCATTACTCCAGTCTTCAGTGTCACATGATCTTTCAGAAATCATTCTAATATGCTGATTTATTATCAGTGCTGGAAACCGCTGTGCTGCTTCATATTTTTTTGGAACCCGTGATACTTTTTTTCAGGATTCTTTGATGAATAAAAAGTTAAAAAGAAGAGCATTTATTTAAAATAGAAAAAAAATAATTTGAAAGAAATTATGACGCAGCACTGTATTTTCAGCATCATTACTCCAGTCTTCAGTGTCACATGATCTTTCAGAAATCATTCTAATATGCTGATTTATTATCAGTGCTGGAAACCGCTGTGCTGCTTCATATTTTTTTGGAACCCGTGATACTTTTTTTCAGGATTCTTTGATGAATAAAAAGTTAAAAAGAAGAGCATTTATTTAAAATAGAAAAAAAATAATTTGAAAGAAATTACAACTTTTATTCAGCAAGGATGTGTTAGATTGATAAGTGATAGCAAAGATTTATATTGCTAGAAAATATTTATATTTTGAATAAATGCTGTTCTTTTAACTTTTTATTAATCAAATATTCCTGAAAAAAGTATCGCAGTTTCCAAAAAAAATATTTGGCAGCACAACTGTTGATAATTCTAATAATAAATCGGCATATTAGAATGATTTCTGAAGGATCATGTGACACTTTATACTGGAGTGATGGCTGATGGAAATTCAGCTTTGATCACAGAAATAAATAATATTTTAAAGTATATTAAAATAGAAACCATTATTTTATATTGTATTAACATTTAGCAAGATTACCCGTGGTTTTTTTCAGTTTTTTTGATCAAATAAATGCAGCCTTGATGAGCAGAAGAGACTTCTTTAAAAAACATTACAAGTCTTACTGATCCCAAACTTTTGAGCGGCAGTGTACATATACTTGTATGACCTCCATGTACAGTGGGGCAAAAAAGTATTTAGTCAGCCACCAATTGTGCAAGTTCTCCCACTTAAAAAGATGAGAGAGGCCTGTAATTTTCATCATAGGTATACCTCAACTATGAGAGACAAAATGAGAAAAAAAAATCCAGAAAATCCCATTGTAGGATTTTTAAAGAATTAATTGGTAAATTCCTCGGTAAAATAAGTATTTGGTCACCTAACCATAATTTGCAAATAAAGTCTTTAAAAATCCTACAATGTGATTTTCTGGATTTTTTTCCCTCATTTTGTCTCTCATAGATGAGGTATACCTATGATGAAAATTACAGGCCTCTCTCATATTTTTAAGTGGGAGAACTTGCACAATTGGTGGCTGACTAAATACTTTTTTTCCCCACTGTATATCTCTAGTTAATAAAAGGGTTCATTTGACAAATAGCAACAGAACAAAGTGTATAGTGAAGAAAGAAAAACAGCGTAGAAAGCATTTCACATAATGTGAGGAGAACATAAATGATCAATATTGGTGCCTATGATATACAACCAAACATAATAATAATAATAATAATATAAAAAAAAAACACCTACATAAATTAAAATCACAGGTGCAAAAAGATGCTAAACCTTCTAAACACAGCTGACGTATCCCTAAAGTATAACACTAGTCTATATACTGGGGGAGGGAAGGAGATGTATACTTATGTGATTGAGGGTCTTTCAATTTCCTACACAATCTGGGAAGGGTCCCCAAATTTAATAGAAATTATCAGAAGATCCTGTCATTGTGTGTCTGATTTTTTTCTGGTTTAATGAAATGGAAAATATATTTAATCCATAAAGAATGAGTAGGAGGTACAGGCGATTTCCAGTTAAACATCTTGCCAAAGGTGTGACAAAGGCTACAAAATCAGACTGATATTTGGGCATAGCAAGAGACGGGGGGAGTGTACCAAATAAAGCTGTGAAAGCCAGAGGCTTATTTGATGTTTAAGAACTTCAGATAATGTTTTAAAGATCTGGGACCAGTATTTCTGTAGAGATGGACGGGACCAAAACATGTACGCAGTAGTTGCATGGGCCAGATGACAACAGTCACATGTGGGATATATATTTTTGAAAGTCTAAATTTGGTCCAGAGGGTGCGGTGAAGAATTTTACACTGAATCAGACCATGTCTGGCACAAAAGGATGAAGAGTGCACTCGGCGTAGGATCTCCTCCCACTGTTCCTCTGGAATATTTTCTCCTGTGTTCTCGTCCCACTGAGATTTAATAGATGTAAGTGGGCAGGTCAAATACTGTTTTTATCACGGTTTTAGTTTTAGTTTTTTTCTATGTCAATATTGTATAAGATTATACTATTTAAATCAATGTGATAAACCAGTTAGGTCAAAAGTAATCAAAATCAGTCTGATTATATTACCTGAAATGTGCAATGTAATGGATTACGTTACTAACTATAATTTTTGTCGTGTAATTTGGAATCAGTAACATACTACAGTTTGTAAGTAATCTACCCAGCACTGTCAGTCGAGTGCTCATGAAGTAAACTGGGTGTTTCAAGTGTTGAGGCCGAAACTGCTCAAATATTAAAGAGTCTTAGCGTTGCAGTATGATTGTTTTATTATCTTCATTTATATTTTAATTTCTCACAGACGAGCAGCTCCAGGAGATTTTTAATTGCACAGCATGTGGACAGCAAGTCAATCATTTTCAGAAGGATTCGATCTTTCAGCATCCTGCACTACATGTTCTTATCTGCAAGGTAGAAACCAGATTAACTTGTTACAGCCAATTACGTGCTTGTATCTCAGTCATTAACATGCATGCCTTTTTCTTACAGTCATGTTTCAGATATTATATGAGTGACGATATCAACAAGGATGAAGAAGGAATGGATGAGCAATGCAGGTTGGTGCAGAACATTTATTTATTTATAACACTACAGCTGTGACGATACCAACTAGGGATGTAGCGATAAAAATATGTGGCTATTAAAAACCAAACAAATACAAATTGAACAATCATTTGGTCACCTAAGCATCAGGGCTCTACGCTTACTTTTCTTTTTTAACTTAAAAAAATTTAGGAGCACGTTCAAAATTTTAAGAGCACCTTCTAATCAATAATCCAAAATGTTATCAAAAAGTAGCCTTCCCATTACGAGGTGATATTTGACTCCTCTAACTTTATTAAACGTAGGCCTATGTCATCTTTTGTCAAATTCTTAAAAACATTATATTTTATAAGCTTTTTAAAAATTGTAATTAAAACGACGGAATAAGAACAAGTAGAATAAGAAACATAAGTTACCAATCAAATGAAATTTGAGTATTAACAGTAATTAATCAGTATTAACAAAATGAATTTGTAGAGGTGGCACAGAAGAACACAAAAGTGGCTTGGTGTACTTTCAGACATTTAATGAGGCTCCATAAATTCATGATGAGATTAAGGTTTTAAATATAACATTTTGAATATAGAAATATTAAATGATTTAAATAACTGAAGAGTCTTTAAAAATGAAACTAAAACTGCCAGCAGGTGGCGGCAAATCACTGATTTTATCACTGAATCATTCATTCAATTGATTAATTCGAACGGGTTCAACGGGTTCATTCGAACGATTCATTCAGGAATGAATCAAGTGACTGTCTTTATGAATGGGTAATCATGAATCACTGACTCACTAGATTCGTTCAAAAACACAGTTCATTCATAAACGAAACACCTGTAAGGGAAACAGGTCAATTTAGCTCAAAAGCTCAAATTTAAGGTTTTAAAGGGAACTCCACCAATAATATGAAAGGGAATTAGGACAGAATCACTGTTTTACGGCTGATCACTGAGAC